GTCAATATTAATTAAGATATACATAAGACGTTAACGTACATTCTCAGACAAAGCGATATTAGTTTGTAATCATTTAGACATATCATTGTCCATAACCTCGAGAGTAGTGCGGATCTAGGTAGGATCGAGGGGTTCATCCGAATTCCCCTAGGTGAAAAATTACAATGTTTACACATGATTAGAATTATTTGTTAAATCTATATAGAACACATTTGAATTTTTTTGTATGTTTACTGTAGACACGTAATTTTTGACCGAATTTAAGGTATTACACCATTTTTAGTACATAAATATTGCTTTTATATATAAATTAAATATTTTATTTTTCATCGTATTTTAGTAAGTTTATTTTAAAAGATTGAAAAACTACAAAAAATATATGTTTTCTTTTAATTTAAATTTTAATAAATAAGCTAGTATTTCTTAATTATATTTTTAGACTAGCTATTTGACTTTTCTTCATATTTTATTAATTCTAAAACAATTAATTAATATTTTATTATTATGATTTTTATATATATTATAATAATAAAATATAAAAAAACCTAAAAACTAACCCCATTTTCTCCCACTCAACCCCACCCTGCATACCCCTACTATCCTAAACACACCCACAAACCCCACTTCCCCCACTTCCAACATTACATTATATACACTACTACATGCACATACACACGGAGGGGGGATTCACACTTACAGGAAACAAAAAAATAATAATCAGCAAACAACATACAGAGACAGAGAACGATCAAAACAAAAAAGAAAAAAAGGGAGAAACCAAGAAGGACGACACTCAAGAAAACAAAAAGAAAAACTTTCCATTTTATTTCATTATCCTCTTAAAAATTCACCAACACATTCACATTCCTCTTCCTTTCTCATTATTATTTTCATATAAACACCATACATATACCACCACACACACCTACAAAATTTGTGGGTATTCTAATCGAGCTTCGATTAAGATTTTGCGGTATTCAACTTTACCTTATCTTTCTATTTATTTATTTATGGAATTTGATATAATTTTATGACAAGTTCTTTTTATATTTTGTTTCATTCATGAATTTGATTGGGATGATTAATTTGTTAGTTGTTATATCTCTATTTCATGAATAAGGTAGCTTTAATAGATGAATTATTTATTTTATTTGTTAGTTGTGATCTCTTAAAAATGAATGGTCGTAGCATTGTTCTTGTCTTCATTTAGATAATAATGATAAAGTAGGTATAGTTAGGCTAAAAATAAATAAATAAATTATTGTTGTTTTATTTTATAAAAAATGAGTTTTATTTTTTACAATTTGTTGTTGTTATGTTTGATTAGAATGTGTATGCCTAATTTTTTCATTAACTTTAAGATAAAAATAAAATATATAATATGTGTATGTCTAATTTTAATATTAAATTTAAGAGTAAATAAATAATAATAAAAAAAAACAAAATAATCCAAAATTTTACATTGTATCCTAGGCATTTAGATTCATTTTACTTTATTTAGTTTTATGTATAAAGGAAAAATATTTGTTTCGATTAAGAATGCGGTTGCGCATCTTTTTTGAGACATAAAAAAAATCAAGGATGCACTAACGCACCTTGTTCAATAATATAATTAAATTTATTAATTTAAAGTAGAGACTTATAAAAAAAATAAGGTTATTAAGTGTGACGCAAAGAAGACAGTTATGTCTCTAAAATGTCAAGATCGAGAATGCAGTTATGCATCCGGTTTAAGACTAATAAAAATTCAACAATTAAAAAATAAGTGAACCATGGCCTTAGACACAAATTATCCAAAAATAGTAAAATAATGTATAAGTCAATAAAAGCGACCGTGCTAGAACCACGGGACTCGAGGGGTGCCTAATACCTTCCCCTCGGTCAACAGAATTCCTTATCCGAATTTCTGATTCGCAGACCAAAAATAAAGAGTCATATCCTTTTGATAAGGGATAAAACAAAAAGGTGACTTGGAACACCATAACTCAATTCCAAGTGGCGACTCTGAAACAATATAATAATTCCTTAATCAATAACGTCACTTTAATTGGAAAAACCCTTCCACCGCCGTGCGCGAAAAGGGGTGTGACATTTACTTCTTCATATTTTAAGCCCCTAGGTAAAAACTATGGTTGTACCACTGCCTCTAGGCAAAAGTTTGATTTCTAGGGTCCAAAAATTAAAGATAAACCTGTTTGAAGGATATATTGTGCAATTTAATGCAATTGTTTGGTATATTTCCTTTTAGCCATATTTGGATTTGCTTAGCTTCTCATTTCCTAAGAGATTTACAAAATATAGTTACTTTTCAACACGTGTAACTGAAAAATGAACATTGCAATGAAGATCAAATTATTCTACACGTGTAATTTGCTTTACACTATTAGTGTAATTTATATTATCTAACCCCCAATTATTTGAATTGATTTAGTTGAAGAAAGTCAAAGAACACTATTGATGGATTTTGTTGAGCTTTAAAAATAAGACAAAGTTGATCTACTGAGCTTTGAAATTTTGGGTTGAATCTAATTTTGAAAATTGTTGAAATTAGTATTAAAAGGTTGAATATCAAATTTGGAGTTATTTGAACCAATTTTAAAGTGAAAAACTTGTGGGCAAAATTTTTACATAATTATCCAGTTAAATCATGACAATCTGTCAGAATATTTGACGAAGACAAATTCTGTTCATCAACTTGAAATTTGAATTTGCTACGTAATGCTAATTGCAAATTTTTGCAAAACTTTTTAAAATAAAATCAATTTGCACGAGGCATGGAGAATTCCTATTTGTGCAGATTCCCACTTTAACAATTATACCATTCGACGGCCCTACCAAAAGTCATATTCCATGAACACTAGTTGAGGTTGAAAAATTTTATTAAGGTAGAGGCCCGAAAAATTTTATTATGGTAGAGGCCCAATCAACAAAAGTTGGAAAAGGCTCCACCCATTTTTTGACATGTGGATCATGGGGCCCAAATCATTAGTTAATGTTGAAAAATGAAATTAAAAGGAGAGAGAATGTAAAGTTTGAGTGGGAATAATTGCAAGATAATTGTGGGGTCCATGTGAACTTCAATTAAATAAATTAAAATATTATATTGAAAGTGAAAAATAAGGGTGTACATGGTCGGATTGGTTCGGGTTTTTCAAATATCAAACCAAATTATTTGTGTCGGATTTTTAAATTTATAAAACCAAACCAAACTAATAAAACTCAGGTTTTTCAACCTCGGGTTTTTTTCGGATTTTTCCAATAAAGTATTCATACAAACATATAATTTACTTATACTTCAAATATTTCTTTAGTTTTACCAAAATATAAATATCTAAGATGTTTCTTAAAAATATAACACAATATGATATAATTAGTGACACTGAAATATCCAACAAAAATAATAATAATAAAATTGCGTAAAACAAATATTGCAAATTAACAAGTCATAATGAAAATGATCATAATTTAAAAGTACTAAATCATGCTAAAAATTAAGTTTAATAAGTATAAGTTACATGACTAAATATTAAAAGGAAATTAAAATTAGATTATGTATTTAATTGTCTAAACCAATGTAAAACTAAAGAACAAATATTCAATATGATTGTCAATTCTTAGTGTTGAATTAATTTTCTTTTTGCATTAGTATTAATTTGATTTTGATTTAAGCTTTATTATAATTACCCACATTTGTGGACCAATTAAAATATTATATTGAAAGTGGAAAGTGCAAGGGAATAAAAAGTCATATTATTAGTTGATCAATATTTTTATTTTCTATTTTATATCCACATTTATTTAACGTGTTGAATTGAATATCTATTAAAAATATTATTCTTATATTGAAATTTGTTTACACTCTATTTTCTTTAAACTCGCGTTACTTTTAAAAATAGTTCTATATTACAAGATAAGATAAGATTTGTGTATTTTTTATTGTCTTCAAACTAATTTACTATTAACGTCAAATACCAAATTGAAGACATGCATAATTCTAATCACCTATTAAATAAACCCTTTAATGCTACTAAAGCAATGGGGTGAAGAAATGGAGGACAATATGAAAAAAGAGCGGAAAAAAAGAAGTGATATCGTTTGTTTTGAAAACTCGAAAATCTCATTAAATGATTATTGGTTTAATTTTATCATGTTGCGTTTCATTTAAACACAAAATATAAATTATTTCATTAGTTAAATTATTTATCGTAGTGACTAGTGAGAATGTACATTATGTTAGCATTTATTAATTGAGAAAAGGTTCTATACAAACTTGTGGTCCCTCCGTCTCATATTATTAAAAATATTTTTCCGAAATTATTATTTATTTTAGATAATTAAAATAGAGTGTATTAAGAAGAATTACAAGGCAATTAGTAATTATTTTTCTAATTATTCACAATTTCTTTAGTAAAGATGTGTATAAAAAGAAAAGTTTGGGCCCACGATCCACATATCAAAAAATGAGTGGAGCCTCTTCCAACTTTTGTTGGTTGGACCTCTACCATAGTAAAATTTTTCGTTGAGGTTAGGTATATGATTGGAACCTCAAGTGGCCTAGTAAAATATTCATTTGAAATATTCAAATAATAATAGTAACAGTTTTGTTATAATGTAAAAAGTAGTCATCTATAGTTTTAAATGTAATTTATATAATTATATACTCCCTCCATTTCAAAAAAAAAATCATACTTTTCTTTTTAGTCCGTTTTAAAAAAGAATGATTCATTTCTTTTTGTTGACAACACTTTAATTTCAACTTTTCACATAATACATTTAAAACTACAAAATTAAAGGATATTTTGATACATCTAACATAACTTTAATTTAGGGCTACAAGATTGAAAAATCTACTTTATTTTCTTAAATTTTGTCTCAAACCTAATTAGATCATTTGTTTTTAAACAGAAGCCGTATAAATTTTTGAAGATGGTCAAGCAGATGCTTTGACTTTCAATTTTGAGGGGAGGAGTACAAAAGAAAAAAAATGTGCGGTCTAAAAAGTTTGGTCGGACTCACGGAAAGGAAAAGGGGATGTATAGAAGTGTTTTAGAAAAAAACAGAAAAATATCTTATTAAATCAAATCAACTTAGGTAAACTTTTTGATGTAAAAATCATGAAGGCATTACTTAGGGAAAGTTTCTACTTATTCTTGTTCCTGTGTTTGTATTCAATCCATCAAAGCTTTGGTGCTACAGATACAATAACTACAACTCATTTTCTAAAAGATGGTGATGATGATATTACTTCACCTGGTGGAATATTTGAAATGGGGTTCTTCAGTCCAGATAATTCGGAAAATCGCTATGTCGGTATGTGGTACAAGAACGTATCTGATAGGACTGTGGTGTGGGTTGCCAATAGAGAAGCTCCTTTGAGGAGTGGATCAGGTATCTTGAAAATAATTAAGTCTCGACTTGTCCTTGTTGATGGAACTAACAATGTTGTGTGGTCAACTAATACCTCTAGATTGGTTCAGAATCCTGTCGCGCAGTTGCTAGATTCTGGAAATCTTGTTGTTAAAGAGGCTGGTGATGATAGCTCGGGGAATTTGATATGGCAGAGTTTTGATCACCCAACGGATACGCTATTAGCAGGCATGAAGCTTGGGAGGAATTTTGTAACCGGAAGAGAGGTGTACTTGTCATCATGGAAGAATGAGGAGGATCCAGCTCCCGGTGATTATACATTCCATTGTGATCCTACTGGTTACCCACAGACTATCGTGAAGAAGGGCTCAGATGTTGTGTATAGCTCTGGACCGTGGAATGGTCGATATTTCAGTGGAACACAAAACTCGAGACTAGGTACTTTCTATACATATGGAGTATATTCAAGTAAGACAGAGGTGTATTTTTTGTATAAGCTCACATCTTCAGTTCTTGTGAGGTTGACAGTAAGTCATAATGGAATTCTACAGATTTGGACTTTGGATGACAGAGAACAGGGTTGGGTGCCTTTGATCTTAGTACCAGCAGATAAATGTGAGGTTTATAATTCATGTGGCGCATATGGTAGCTGCAACAGTCAAGATTCTCCAGTATGTAGATGCTTAGATAAATTTGTGCCCAACAATAGTGATGCTTGGAAGAGGGAAGATTGGTCAGGTGGCTGTGTTCGGAAAACTAAACTAAATTGCCTTCATAGAGATGTATTTTTGAAGTATTCGCATATTAAATTGCCAGACACACGGAATTCCTGGTCCAATGTGACTATGACACTAGAAGAATGCAAGGATATCTGCTCAAAAAATTGCTCTTGTATGGCTTACTCAAATCCTGACATACGAGGAAGTGGATGCTTATTGTGGTTCGGGGATCTGCTTGACATTCGGAAGGGAACCAATGGACTGCAAGAGATCTACATAAGAATGGCTTCTTCTGAATCAGGTAGGCTTGTTGCTACTTAAAGATTTTTGATAGATTACCTAAAGATAGTAAAGGAATTTGGGGTTGCAAGCACTTTGAATAAAGCAGACTGTATTTTTGTGCCTATGCTTGTAAACATCTAGTAGTGTCAACTGCCAGCTCCTACCATATATAACCAGGAACTAACAAATTATAGTAGAACGGAAAGCGACTCCTTTAGAGTGAAGTTGGTCTGAACTAATAAGCTGAATCTACAAGCATATGACTGGTTAGACCCTGTTCAATTTTTTAGAACTAATTGGTAAGCACTTAGTTTTCTATAGAACAAGCACTTGATATGCAGTACTCCAAAGGCTTGCAGAACCCTTAATAACTCAGAATAAGAAATCATCTCTCCCATCCGCTTGCAGAACCTTTAATAACTCAGAATAAGAAATCATCTCTCGAATGGATTGGAGAAAGATTGAAATTCATTATTTGTCTCAGTTTAAATGGTTACTTGCAGATGATCAGGAGGAATCGGATGGAAAGAAAGGAAGAGTACTTTTCTGGATTCTGCCATTATCAGTTGGTCTGATTCTGGTATTCCTTAGTCTGCTAATCTACCATAGAAGAAGGAAGAAGGCTTTAGAGCTAAAAAACAAAGGTAAGCTGGATCCCCTTTTATTTTTCTTGACGTCTAAGCAAAATAGAGGAATAGACATTTAAATATTAGTGAAAAGAACTTCATAGTTGTCTGATATTCACAACTTAAACAACATTCACTTCATTTTCTATTTCTTAGAAGCAAAATTACATCATTTGGTTTTGGCAGGAAGGACAGGATGTGGGGGCAATTGCGCTGAAGAATTTGAAATACCACTGTTTGACTTATCTACCATAGCAAACGCTACCAATAACTTTTCAATTGACAGACAGATTGGAGAGGGAGGCTATGGACCTGTTTACAAGGTATACACACACTTAAACCCTTGTCCTTCAGAGTAAAGCTTAATCTTCAGACACAATTTAGGAGTTGTATGATCAAAGGTGTAATGACAAAAACCTTTGCTTTGTGAAACTAAAAGGAGACAGATACAATAGCTAAGGGAAGAAAGGTGGGGATATGGGGGATGTCCTTCTCAGAATGTGTCCTAGAACCACTATCTTAGCTTTTCCAATAAGTGTTGTCGACAATTAGCTCAAGTTAGTCAGTCTAGAGTCTTTAGAGGGGATATCCTTCTGGTGCGTGAACTTGTACATTTCTAAACATTCTCCGGATGTATTTTTATGAGTTAAATTATCTTTCTCTTCTGCATCTCAAGCCTTTATAGTGAGCCGACATTTTGATCAACTTAGATATTTAAAATATTAACATGCAGATATTGTGATGTTTAGGGCATACTTGAAGGAGGGGAAGTAGCTGTCAAGCGGTTATCTAGAACTTCCACACAAGGAGAAAATGAGTTCAAAAATGAAGTTGTATATATTGCCAAACTTCAGCACAGAAATCTGGTGAAGATTCTTGGCTGCTGCATTGAAGGGGAAGAAAAAATGTTGATCTATGAGTATTTGCCGAATGGGAGTCTTGATTCATTTATATTTGGTACAACTTCTCAATCCAATATTAAGAATTTGAATAATAATTGTACTCTCGTATTATTTTTCCATCGACAAAGAACTGATTTTGCTTTAGGCTTTAATAGTACCTTCCACTATACCTACTTAGAATGTTAATAACCCAACATTATTTGGCAGATGACGCACAAAGCAAGGTATTAGACTGGCCTAAGCGATTTCACATTATCAATGGTATAGCTCGGGGACTTATGTATCTGCATCAAGATTCTCAATTGAGAATAATCCACAGAGACCTGAAAGCTAACAATATTTTGTTAGACAAAGACATGAATCCAAAGATATCAGATTTCGGGATAGCAAAAATATGTGAAGAGAATGACATTGGAGCCAAGACAAACCGAGTTGTTGGAACATAGTAAGAACCTTCAACTGGGTAGTTAGGAATTTGAACCTAAGACGAGTTTTGAGATATTAAGCATGTTTTCCAGCACTAGTAATTCTACATTTTGTTTACATTTTTATGCAGTGGGTACCTCTCACCGGAATATGCATTGCACGGAAGATACTCAGTAAAATCAGATGTATTTAGCTTTGGTATCTTAATATTGGAAATTGTGAGTGGGAAAAGCAACAGAAGATTCTCTCATCCAGATCACAACCTTAATCTACTTGGACATGTAAGATTTGATTAGTTTTATTTTACTTATCCTTTGGTGTTATGTTATCTCCTAGTAACAGAGATCTGCAAATCTAGTCAAATGCTAATAAATCTTGTAATCTACAGGCATGGAAACTCTATAAAGAAGGTAGGTCAACAGAACTACTTGATGAATACCTAGGTGATTCTTGTTCAACAACCGAAGTGGAACGATCAATCTGTGTTGGTCTATTATGTGTCCAACAAAGTCCAGAAGACCGTCCAAATATGTCTTCTGCAGTTATGATGTTAAGCAATGAAGGTGAATTGCCACAGGCTAAACGGCCAGGATTTTACATAGAAAGAGATGCACCAGATGGTGAATTATATGCACAGAATACAGTGAGTGAGACCCCCATCACAATATTAGCTGCCCGATAAGAAAATATTTGTCCACTCGCTTCCACAACAAGCTTGCAGTTTTAATAACCTTTTCTTTAATTCTTTGTAGAAATGTGGTGAAAATTTTGTGTATGGCTTTGCCTTATTGGTGTATTAACTATGTCAAACTGACTCAAACATATGTAAAGTGCTGATTCGCTGTTGCTTCTCAATACAAGGAAGAGGTTAGCCAACAAATCAAGTTCAAGAACATTAGCCTCAAACCCAAACACAAGCTCCATAGAAAAAGATGGTGTTACATCAGTCCATAAAACTGTTCTTAACCTGGCGATATGATCTACGGATTTTAATCTATCGCAAAACTGTTTTAGTTTTAGTACTTTACTAATGGATTTTGTCACAACTTTCAATAAATCAAATTCAGGTTTTAAACTTTGATGAGACATTTCCTCAATCAAACTAGTATCATTTTAGTCATTACTTGTACTTAATTTCCTTTCTACTGTCATTACTATAATAACAACAACATGATCTGGAAAGGGTAGAATGTATGCATACCTTACCCTTACCTCGAGATAAAGAGGTTGCTTCTGATAGACCCTTGTCTCAAGGATAAACAAAATAACGACACTGAAGGAGCCATGGACTGTCATAGTATAATCTATAGCAAATCACAATTACTCCATGTCCAATCATTTAGAAGGGGAACGAGGAAGCAATAAGTTTCGGTACTTAACCCCTGTTCTCCAATGTGCACAGATTATATATAACGTTAATTGGAACAATAGCATTTCGTAATTGATGAAAGAAAAATATTCGTACCACGAGTTAGCCGCCGGTAGCGTTGGCCGATTCGGAGCACTGAATTTTGATTGGATTCGCCTGATTACCGAGCACTGAAAAAGGAAATGAAGGTACAACTTCAATTATACAACTTTACACCAATTTATGAATCAAAGATGAACTTCCTCATAGATACAGATGAATGCATATCGGCAGTAGAATTAGATGAAAATGAGAGAGGATTTGACAAAGCATATCATCCTAAAATACACTATAATTATACAATCTTAACACAACACATGAATAATTAAATGATAGAAAAATTAATAATTTCAATTTTTTGTGATATTCTCAAGCAAAGGGATCACAGTGCACATTTCAAGTAATTAAAGTTTAAATATGCGTAGTTTAAATATCACAAACTTGCTTGGACATAAAATTATTACGATTTCTAACAAGATATTAAAATATTATCTAATTTTTTCATGCTCAAAAGTCAAGAACTATTGACCTCCTATAATATTTCTTAATTCCACATCAGCCGCCGTTTAGTCTTAGTTATCCAGTCAAATCTATGAAGACCCCATTATATTCGAACTGCAGCAACATTTTCCTCATGTTTGATACTGCTCAGAACATATATGCCTTTTACTAAATTATTCGTAAAATATACTATTCAAAAGTCCACCAAAAGCAGCCATTAACTTTTTTAAAAGCAGCAGGACTTGAAGCAGCCTCAACTCTCATTAAAAAGCTAAGACTTTTCATAGTCATAGACCTTTCACTCCTTTCAAATAATACTCTTTCATATGTTAGAAAGCTCAAGTGATGGCTTTTTTAACACTAGTTTGTTCAGTTTCTTCTTGTAAGATTCACCGTCTGCAAACAAGTCAAAGTGTCATCACTATGCTACATTTGACATTGAAAAAAATTGGATCTCAAAGCATGAAGGCATTACTAAGGGAAAGTTTTTACTTATCTTTGCTCCTGTGTTTGTGTTTCATCCACCGAAGCTTTGGCGCTACAGATACAATAACTACAACTCATTTTCTGAAAGATGGTGATGATAATGTTGCTTCAACTGGTGGAATATTCGAAATGGGGTTCTTCAGTCCAGGTAATTCGAAAAATCGCTATGTGGGTATGTGGTATAAGAACATATCTGTTAGGACAGTGGTGTGGGTTGCCAACAGAGAAGCTCCTTTGACTGGTGGATCAGGTATCTTGAAAATAATCAAGCCAGGAATTCTTGTCCTTGTCAATGGTACTAACCATGTTGTGTGGTCAACTAATACCACTAGATCTGTGCAGAATCCTGTAGCGCAGTTGCTAGATTCTGGAAATCTTATTGTCAAAGAAGCTGGTGATGATAGCCCGGGGAATTTGATATGGCAGAGCTTTGATCACCCAACGGATACGCTATTAGCAGGCATGAAGCTTGGTAGGAACTTTGTAACTGGCAGAGAGGTGTACTTGTCATCATGGAAGAATGAGGAGGATCCAGCTCCTGGTGATTCTACATATCACTGCGATCCTTCTGGTTACCCGCAGAATATCCTGAAGAAGGGGTCGGATGTAGTATACCGCTCTGGACCATGGAATGGTCGCTCTTTCAGTGGGAACCGAAACTCAAGAGAAGGTCCTTCCTATACATTTGGAGTATATTCAAGTAAGACAGAGGTGTATTTTGGATATAACCTCACAACTTCAATTATCGTGAGGTTGACATTAAGTCACAATGGAGTCCTACAGGTTTGGACTTGGGGTGATGGAGACCAAGGTTGGATCCCTTTCCTCTTAATACCCGCTGATAATTGTGATATGTATAAGTTGTGTGGCGCATATGGCAGCTGCAACAGTCAAGATTCTCCAGAATGTGGATGCTTAGACAAATTTGTGCCCAACAATAGTGATGCTTGGAAGAGGAAAGACTGGTCAGGTGGCTGTGTTCGGAGAACTGAACTAAATTGCCTCCAAGAAGATGTATTTTTGAAGTATTCGCATATCAAATTGCCAGACACACGGAATTCCTGGTCCAATGTGACTATGACACTAGAAGAGTGCAGGAATACCTGCTCTAAAAATTGTTCTTGTATGGCTTACTCCAATTCTGACATACTCAATGAAGGAAGTGGATGCTTACTGTGGTTCAAGGATCTGCTTGACATTCGGCAGGGACCCAACGGAGGGCAAGATATCTACATTAGAATGGCTTCTTCTGAATCAGGTTGGCTTGTTGCAACTTAATATTTTTTGATAGATTGCCTGAGGATAGTAAAGGAGTTTAAGGTTGCAGGCACTTTAATAAAGCAGACTGTAGTTTAGTGCCTATGCTTACTATGATACTATCTACTGCCAATTCCTACCATATTTAGCCCGTAACTACCAAATAATAGCAGTACAGAAAGCTACTATTTTTTAGTGAAGTTGGGATGAATTTATAAGCCAAATCTGCAAGCATGATGACTATAGAACAAGCATTTGATATGACTTGCATTACACAAGGAATTGAAGAACCTTGACAACTCAACCTCAACAAACTAAAAAGGATGTGCTGTACTCCAAAGGCTTGCAGAGCCTTTTATAACTCAAAATAAAAATCATCTCCAATGGATAGGATAATTGCAATTTATTATTTATGTTTGTTGAATTGATACTTGCAGATAGTCTGGAGCAATCAGATGGAAAGAAAAGGAAAGTACTTTTCTGGATTCTACCATTATCAGTTTGTTTGATTCTGGTATTCCTTACTCTGCTGGTCTACCATAGAAGAAGGAAGAAGGCTTTAGAGCTCAAAAACAAAGGTAAGCTGAATACCCCTTAATTTTTTCTTGACATCTAAAGTCTAAGCAAAATAGAGGAAAAGACATTTAAATTATACTGAAAAGAACTTTCACTTCATTCGCTTTCTCTTATAGGCAAAATTATGTCATTTGGTTTTGGCAGGAAGGTCAGGATGCAGTGGAAATTACAAGATGAATTACAACCGTGGCAATTGCACTGAAGAATTTGAAATACCACTGTTCGACTTATCTACCATAGCAAAGGCTACCAATAACTTTTCAATTGACAGACAGATTGGAGAGGGGGGCTTTGGACCTGTTTACAAGGTATAAACACTTAAGACCTGGGTCTTCAGAGTAAAGCTTCATCTTTAAATACAATATAGGAGTTGTATGATCAAAGGTATAAGCCTTTGCTTTGTGAAACCAAAAGGAGACCTATACAATAGCTAAGGGAAGAAAGGTTGGGATATGGGGGATGTCCTTCTCAGAATGTATCCAAGAACCACTAGTCTAGCTTTTCAATAAGTGTTGTCCCAAGTTAGTCAATATAGAGCCTTTAGCATTTTCAAGAAAGTGCTGCAAGAGTAACCCATCACCCTTTGGGTGGAACTGCAGATTAAAGTGTTGAGGATATAGTTTGTTTAAGAAGAGAGTCATTTGTTCTTTGTAGTCATTTATTTGTTCATCTTTCCATGGTGACAAGTGGCAACTTGTTCCCGCATCAAAAGGGCGAATATTTCTTATAGACTTTAGTTTTAATTTTAAAGAAGATTATCATAGGGCTAAACTGAAAATATAATGAACTTATAATAGAGATTTGGCACATTTGACCTAAATTTGTTAACGGAGATTTTGATCAACTTAGGTATTGAAAATATTAACATGCAGAGATTGTGATGTTTAGGGCATACTTGAAGGACAGGAAATAGCCGTCAAGCGGTTGTCTAAAACTTCTACACAAGGAGAAAAAGAGTTCAAAAATGAAGTTTTATATATTGCTAAACTTCAGCAAAGGAATCTGGTGAAGATTCTTGGCTGTTGCATTGAAGGGGAAGAAAAAATGTTGATTTATGAGTACTTGCCAAATGGGAGTCTTGATTCATTTATATTTGGTACAACTTCTCAATCCAATATTATGCATTTGAATAATAGTTGCATTTCAGTGACTTGATGCCTATAGGCATACACTGATTTTCTTCCAACTTCAAAATCCCCATAAAGCAGGAAAAAAAATGTAAGGAGAGAACTAAGACCCCAGTTGTTTAAGAGCCTAATAATTACATACTTGGTAGTTCAAACTTCTCGTATTATGTTTCCATCAGCAAGGAACTGATTTTGTTTTTGGTTTTAATACTACATTCCACTAAACCTATTTAGTGTGTTAATGACCCAACATTATTTGGCAGATGACATACAAAGCAAGGTATTAGACTGGCCTAAACGATTTCACATTATCAATGGCATAGCTCGGGGACTTATGTATCTGCATCAAGATTCTCAATTGAGGATAATCCACAGAGATCTGAAAGCTAACAATATCTTATTAGACAAGGACATGAATCCAAAGATATCAGACTTTGGCATTGCAAAAATATGTGATGGGAATGACATTGGGGACAAGACAAACCAAGTTGTTGGAACACAGTAAGAACCTTATACTTGATAGCTAGAAATTTGAACCTAAGAAGAGTTTTGAGATATTAGGTACGTTTTCCAGCATTAGTAATTCTATTTTTTGTTTACATTTCTATGCAGTGGGTACCTCTCACCGGAATATGCATTGCACGGAAGATACTCAGTAAAATCAGATGTATTTAGCTTTGGTATCTTAATATTGGAAATTGTGAGTGGGAAAAGCAACAGAAGATTCTCTCATCCAGACCACAACCTTAATCTACTTGGACTTGTAAGATTTGATGAGTTTCATTTTACTTATCCTTTGGTCTTATGTTATCTTCTAGTTACAGATATCTGCAAATCTAGTCAGCATTAATAAATTGTGTAATCTACAGGCATGGAAACTCTATAAAGAAGGCAGGTCAACAGAACTACTTGATGAATACCTAGGGAATTCTTGTTCAACACCCGAAGTGGAACGATCAATCTGTGTTGGTCTATTATGTGTCCAACAATGTCCAGAAGATCGTCCAAGTATGTCTTTTGTGGTTATGATGTTAAACAATAAAGGTGTATTGCCACAGGCTAAACGGCCAGGTTTTTACATTGAAACAGATGCACCGGATGGTGAACTCTCGTCTAGCCATACTGAGACCCCCATCACAATATTGGTAGCCCGATAAGAAAATATTGTTTCACTTGCTTTCAACAAGCTTGCAGTTGTAAAAAATCTTTTCTTTTATTCTTTGTAGAAATGTTGTAAAAAAATATTTGGTATATCAGCTATTTCGAACATATGTAAATTTGAAAGTGTTAATTGGCTGTTACTTCTCAATCTCATTTAAATTTTGTTTCCTTGTCATATGTAATAGTTAGTACTAAGGCATAGGTTTGTTTGATAGAGTAATTTGCTTTCTTTTTTGTAACTTCCAATATAAGTTGAGTCGTGATATTTACATCAAGCAAAATTTGATGCTGCAATCAGTTTATGGAAAAACACTGTCGGAGTAGCAAGAGAGTAATCACATTAATCAAATTCAAGAACAACAATCTCAAATCCAAACACAAGATTCATGAAATATAATGAAGCCTCGCCAGTCCCTAAAACTGTTCTTAACTACAACAATATTATCTACAGATTTCAATCTATCCCTAAATTGTCTTACTTTTAGTACTTCTCCACACATTTTGTCAGTCACTATAATCCATTTTTTCACCTTCTAGAGTACTCCATCGATCCCAGTTTACCTGACATAGTTTGAAATGTTCGTTCATTCAAATTTTATACCAATCAAAAGATTAAAATAAATCAAATTCGCTAAAACTATTTTGATTTTAAACTCTGATCAGAAATTTTCTTAATCAAACAAGTATCACTTTTATCATTATTTAAATTTCCTTCTACTATCACTAATATCATACACATAAATCAAAATTGGAAGGAAGGAGAAACAAATCACAGTTAACACCTGTATTAACGTTAATTTAAGAAATTATGGACCAATAGCAATAGCATTTCGCCATTGATGGAAGAAAAATAATCGTACCTCGAAGTTCCCGCCGTCGACGACGCCGAATTTCGATTGGACTCTCCGAGTACAGAATTTTACACCAATTTTAAACCCTAAGACGGAAGATGAACACGTACTGGCGGGAGAATTAGTTGAAAATGCGAAGACGGATTTATAACGGGTCGGGGCAACCGATTGGTGTGTTTTTTCTTTAAATATGCATTTTTATTTAAGGCTAAGTTAGGAGACGTTAGGAATCGCATTTTTTTTATTTTTCACTCAACGAACCCTTTTGAATTCAGTCAAATCATGAATAAATATTTGGCTGTAAACCATCATGTAACTAGTGAGAAGAAAGTCATAAAACGTTATCACTCTATAATTAGTGTTAGAAAAATAAAGTTCTTGGTGAAATAAATAAGTAATTTTCTCTTAACACCAAGTTATGATTTATGAAAAAGATTTTCAAACCAACCTACAATTGATCGAATTAAATAAAGCACAAAAACAATAAGTCTAGTTGAATTAGGTAATAAATCTAAAGCGAATGATGAGAGAGATTAGATGGAGGAAAATGAACACAACAAGGTGAAAGTAGGAAATCAATCAATCGAGTTACTATGATTTTCTACGTGTTTGGTGGGTTAGATAAGCGAAACTAGATATATTTTTAATTAATCAAAAAAAATTCAATGTGGTTATTCAATATAGAAATAGCGTGTGAATTTGAAGACATGTCTATTGAACAAAATTTAGTTCATGACGTTGGTTTCTCTGTTGAAGCAAGACTTTGGGAACAAAAATAAAATGCAACGTCATTGGCCACATTTTTTTTAATATATGTTAAATAACTATTCCAATAATTACATATTCTATTTGGTCATTTTATCAAATATCTAATAATAAAATAAACCTTGGTCAATTAAGAAATTAATGGATGACGACAATAGTAAAAGACACACATGGCTATAGAGTCCACCATCCTATCACACTTTTCCTCTTTCTTTCTGTCTCAATTTATTTTAAAATATTATATGGTATTTTTTTTAAAAAGGGAAATATAATTAACAGGGAAGATTCTAGGTGGTTGTTTATTTTTTATTTTAAAAAAGGGAAAAGGGTCAAAAATGCCCTTAAACTATGTGAAAGGAACAAAAATGCCCTCCGTTTATAGTTTGGCTCAAAAATGCCCTTACCGTCAATACTTTGG